CTCTCCTCTAGAGTAGTAACAGCTTAAATGCCTAAAATGATGGGAAGGGGAGCCTGGGGAGTCCCATGCCCCCCCCCCATAATGGGCCTATAGAAAACAGATGTTTTGGCACCCCAGAGCAAAAACAGATATCTGCCCTCCTGAATTCAGGAGGCTCCCAAAAATGGATCCGGGCTGCCACTGAAAGCCAGGACACCAAACTAGATCAAGGTTTACCCGGATTGCACAAGCTAGGCCTCAGCTAAGAAAGATTCTGACCTAGGGTACATCTACCCTATAGAATTAATGCAGTTTGACACCACTTTAATGAAATCCAGAGATTTGTAGTTTGGTGAAGCATCAGCACCCTTTGGCGAAGAAGGCTATAGACCTTGTAAAACTACAGCTCTGTTTGTTCCATAGCACTGAGCTATAGTTAAAGCAGTGTCAACCCGCATAAATTCTACAGTAAGAAATTCCTTTTTAAAAAACTTTTAATGCCCACCGAGCAATATTTTCCCTCTGTCCAGCTGGACAATTTTAGCAAAATAGATTTTAAATACTAGGTTGCAGTGGTATGTAAATAGTACAATCGTAACCTTGGTTTGCCTGGATACAACAGATGAAGTAAATAGCCATTAGCTCCAGATGCCCTTACTGAGCATAAACAGAGAGCAAAACAAAAAAGAGGGAAACAAATGAAGCCTTATCAGCATGTTAAAAAATATAGATGTATAATTTACAGATGTAATGCCAAGGAACATATCTACTTTGTTAACTGAAGTATTTGTTGTTGTTTGTCTTCAAGTCATTTCCAGTTTATGGCATTCCTATCATGGGATTTTCTAGGCCAGATTTGTTACAGCCTTTGCTGTATTTATATCCCAATTCCTTCTGTAAAACTGAGACTCAAGGCAGCTAGAAGTGTCATGGTTCATAATATATCATGTTTCCCACTTTGCTGAGCATTAGGAATTCCAAGAGCAGCTGTTTCTGTGAGAAGAAAACACTTGAGACTTATGGAAAATGTGCAAGTTTTTTAAATTTGCATATGTACCTTATGCAAGGAAGACAGATGACACACATCCATATGGACAGTCCTAGTTAGTAAAGTAGCAGTTGTACCCAGGATACCATCAATCGCACTAAGAATGCCTTTCAGATACACATCTTTAGACGTCTGCTGTTTATAAAATGCAAAATTATTGGTTACCTTCAGACACTTTAGAAGAGTGAGATTTCAAGCTGGCCATTACCAATGCCAACTACTGTCAAACCATCAGCAATCAATCCATTCATCTTATACAATCACAGAATCATAGAGTTGGAAGAGACTACCAGAGCCATCAAGTCCAATACCTTGCTATGCAGAAATATACAATCAAATATATAAGTGTTAAAACTTACTATTAAGAAAAAATGAATACAACAATATGCTGAAATCCACTACAACTGGGTTTGCCCAAACTGGACAACATCAGGATGTTGTTGAAGGATCTAGACTATCATCCTGTTGATGTTCAGTTAAGGATAGTTTTATATATTCATTCTTCTTAAATATATTTTTCAAGTTAGCAGTTCCTTAATCTGACATGACAGAGAGACATTCCGTAATATGCAATTCAATTAAATTATTGAATGCAGTGAAGACTGAGATCCATAGAAAGGTACTTGCAACCAAAAGTCCATCTCAAGAACACAGCAACCTGATATGGGTTGATCTCCTGAGAAGCTCAGCTGTTCCCAGATCACTATTTAGATCTGCTGACTGAACAGGAACTGATGTTGAAAACTTCTCCATCTTTACGAAATCAGCCATTGAAAATGAGAGGCTGAAGGAGAGTTCTTTGAGTATCATAGATTACCAAAAAAGAGAAATAAATAGATCCTGGATAAAATGGAGCTTGAACTCTCAGCTGAAGATGAACATGACTCAAAAATGTGATGCAGGAGCTACAAAAGCCAATGCGATTTTGGGCTGCATCAAAAGGAGTGTAGTGTCTAGATCAAGGGAAGTCCTGCTAAGCCTCTATTCTGCTTTGGTCAGACCACACCCGGAATAACACTGTCCAATTCTGGGCACCATAATTTAAAAGGGATATTGACAAACTGGAAGCTGTCCAGAGGAGGCAACTGAAATATTCAAAGGTCTGGAGACCATGGCTTAAAGAACTGGGCATGTTTAGCTTGCAGAAGAGAAGACTGAGAGCAGACATGATAGCCGTATGTGAAAGGATGTCATAAGGAAGAGGGAGCAGGCTTGTTTTCTGCTGCCATGGAAACTAGGACTCGGAAAAGTGGGTTCAAATTACAGGAAAGGAGATTTAACTTGAGGAAGAATGCCCTGTCCTGACCGTAAGAGCCATTCAACAGAGGAACCGACTGCCTCAGATTGTGGTGGAAGCTCCTTCTTTGGAGGCTTTTAAACAGAGGCTGGATGACAATAAGTTGGGGGTGCTTTGGTTATGCTTCCCTACATGGTGAAGGGTGGGACTGAATGGCCTGTGTTGTCTCTTTCAACTCTATGATTCTGTGACTAAACTGAGGCTATCATATCATTGTGTGTGTGTGTGTGTGTGTGTGTGTGTGTGTGTCAGGAGCGACTTGAGAAACTGCAAGTCACTTCTGGTGCGAGAGAATTGGCCATCTGCAAGGACATTGCCCAGAGGACGCCCGGATGTTTTACCATCCTGTGAGAGGCTTCTCTCATGTCCCCACATGAGAAGCTGAAACTAACAGAGGGGAGCTCACCCCACTCCCCAGATTCGAACCACCAACCTTCCAGTCATCAGTTCTGCCGGCACAAGGGTTTGACCCATTGTGCTACCAAGGGCTCCATCATACTATCATGAGATGACATGACTCATTGGAAAAGATAGTAATGCTTGGCAAAGCTGTAGAAAAAAATGGAAGACTGCATTGCAGGTGCATAGACTCCATCAAGGAAGCCAGAGCCCTTAGCTTGCAGAACTTGAAAAGAGCTGTTGCTGAGAGGGAATTTTGGAGGTCTCATTCACAGGGCTGGCGTAAGTAGAAACTAAAGTGATAATAAACAACATCAACTAAATTGTCTGGCAATTGATAGGTATCTAGTTTCTTTATTTACAAAACAGAATGAACATAATGGCACAATATCATTTATTGCTGTTGAATTTGCTGTAAATGAAAACAGCTGGAGAGAAACAGAAAAAAAGTCATATAGCACTATAGAGGTTGTAAGGGGAATGCTAACAGATATGGTAACTAAACAGGCAGATGCTGCAGAGAAATAACTAACACTGTAGTCCACTCGGTTCACAGATGTTATAGGTGGCCAATAGTTGTACTGGGAAGAGTACTCAGCTAATGTACTTGATGGAGAGATGCCACAGACGGGTGTACGGAGTGACAGACGTTGTTTTGTGAGTCTCAGGTGCTAAATAGACTGCAGTGATTATTATGATCGCTGCTGCTCTATAGTTTTGTTTCATGCTCTTTCCTCCCCGCACTGTTTCTGTTGGAAAGAAGTGGAAGGTTGTAGCTGCCATCCTGGGCTGTAGCTGCCAAGCAGCCTCCACAGTTTCAACACCTGTTATCTAGTGTGCTTTTTGCTTGTGCCTGCAAGAGAAACCAGGCCTCTGGTCAAGTCATCCACCTGAAAGCAGTTAATTCAAGCAGAAATTGACTGAAGAGTGCCTACCCACGAAAGAAAAACTTTGTACTGAGTAGATATCCTTATGAGTCCTGCAAAGCTTCAGAAAATGCAAACATATCTTTCTTTCTGAAGGCTGCAGTCATAAGTCTCTTGCTGGGTTTGCTAGAATAACATAACTTTTTTATCATGTCAGAAGCAACTTGAGAAACTGCAAGTCTCTTCTGGTGTGAGAAAATTGGCTGTTTGCAGAGACATTGCCCAGGGGACGTCCGGATGTGTTACCATCTTGTGGAAGGCTTCTCTCATGTCACCACATGGGAAGCTGGAGCTGACAGATGGGAGCTCACCCCATCTTGTGGATTTGAATCGCCAACCTTCAGGTTGGCAATTCAGCTGGCACAAGGGTTTAACCCATTGTGCCACTGCGGCTCCTTGTATTACCTCAGTGGGATTACATTAGCACAGCTGAGAACTGAAATTATTAACACTGTGTTGCCTTCACACACCATTGGAGATAGGAAGGCATTTTAAAGTATTACAGGTATGTGCTGGTCTCTGATTTTGGACTGTGACCATATTTTCCTCCAGCAATGCTTCTAGTAGGGCACTACAGTGCAAGATAGCTTCCCTTGGCAAAGATCCTGTGGAATGAAATGGACTTAGTCATTAGAATAGGCACTCAGGAAATACCTTTCTAGTTGGATGCTGCAAAGATAAATCCCTTTCCCGTGAATGAGTTACCTGCCTCACCTTTGCAGCTGGGGACTTGAACCACAAAAATAATAAAGCAGATTTTGCCCTCCATTCATTCTGACTGCTAGAGGAAATTCTGACATTGCGTGCATGTATTTGTTTCTTTCATTTCTGCTCTCACTCTGTCTTTTTACCTTTAACATTTCACCTTCCTCCCTGTTTCCTTCTGTCTGGTGAAATGCAGTTGTGACATTCTTTGGGGCAGGGACCTTGTTTTTGTTTGTGGTATTTATAAATGCCTGTGAACGGTATTGTGCTAACAGTACTTCTTAAAATTTATTCCTCACTTTTCCTTTGAGATGGGAGTGCCACTTCATCACCCTTAGTGATATAAAGATAGTTATAGTACAAGTCTTAGATGCGGATCTAAAAGCACTTACTGTACTTGAAATGACAGGCTCTACGCTTTGAGATGTGATACAGGAGGTTGTTGAATTCACACATCCAGGCTTGTTAAAAATCAATGAACTTGCTGCACATTTAACTCTGTGTTGGATTGAGACCTTCATCTGTTGTGCCAAATGTGGTCGGGTGAACAAGAGGGCGTTGTTGAAAGTGAATTAAAAGAATGCCATACTGAAACACATTGTTAATGTGCACTGTGTCATTTCTTCATCTTTTTTCTTCTTTGAAGGTTATTACTTTGAAATTCCCTCCATTGGAGCCATCCGAATCAATACACAGGTAAGAAGGGAAGTGAAAAATCCTGACAGGAATTATATCATTCAGTGCTTCTATGATTCTACTATGTCTCCAAACATTCCTGTCTGTAAATGGAGTATTTTCTTCCATATGCTTTCCAATGTATGTCTCCCTATTCCAGCTGCAGTCTTTAGCACTACCTGTCATATTCTTCCAGAGCAGGCATCCTCAAATTGTGGCCTTCCAGCTGTTTGGGTCTCCATCCCCGAGAATTCCTGACCAACGAATAAGCCGGCAAGGGATTCAGGGAGTTGGAGGCCCAAACATCTAAAGAGTTTGAAAATGCATGTTCCAGAGTGTCCTTAGTACCACTATAAGAGTAATTTGCATCTTATTCTCTAAATCAGGGGTCCTCAAACTAAGGCCCGAGGGCCAGATACGGCCCTCCAAGGTCTTTTATCCGGCCCTCACTCAGGGTCAATCTAAGTCTGAAACAACTTGAAAGCACACAACAACAACAACAACAACAACAATCCTATCACACCAGCCAAAAGCAGACCCACATTTCCCATTGAAATACTAATAAGGATATACCCTTGAGGTCTAACCCAGGCATGGTCAAACTTTGTCCCTCCAGTTATTTTGGACTCCAACTCCCACAATTCCTAACAGCCTCGGACCCCTTCCTTTTCCCCTCAGCCGGGGAAAAGGAAGGGGCCTGAGACTGTTAGGAATTGTGGGAGTTGGAGTCCAAAACACCTGGAGGGACAAAATTTGCCCATGCCTTGTCTAACATCAATGCATACTTTTTAAACTTAAAGGGCCTTTTCTCCATTCTGCAAAATACAGAGCAAAGAATGTAATCAATCTCCTACATCTAAAGTTATTACTTTGGATTGCATGTATTTTTGAGGCAATTTTAGTTTAAAGACTGTATTTAGTGGAAGGCTTGCCATAGCATATAGTAAGCCATTTGAGTTGACTCGTCTGCCATCTTGTTAAAAATCTGCACAGTTACTAATAAGAAAGAATCCAGTCCTTTAGAGAAACACCTCTATTACAGAGCGGGAACTGTGTGTCTTTTAAAACAGCATTTTTGAGAGGAAATGACATTTTAAAATCTTTTCGTTGGTAATGTATGACATCTTTTTTGAAAGGGATCAGTCTTTCTTCTGGACTTGTTAGCAACTAGAATTGCAGTTCCATTATTGCATTCTCCCACGGGGGATTATCCTGAGGCACAGTGAGGTACAAGGAGCAGATTTTAAATGAGAGTAACATACTAAATTATTATCCATTAAATGTATTGTGATTTTCCTATTTCCTGTCAGAAATGGGTAGAGGTATTTATGAGGGTTTTCTGCCCAAGCTTTCCAAGAACTGGACCGGTCTTGGATTGTATTGATTTTGCAGTGGAGATAGCATTTATTGGTATGCCTTAGGCCCCTTCCTTATTACTATATAATCCATTTTATCAAAGCAGATAATCCACATCTTTGAACTGGATTATATGAGTCTACACTGCCATATAATCCAGTTCAAAGCAAATAATCTGGATTTTATATGACATTGTAGAAGGGCTCTTTGGCAGCAAAGTACTGGGGACCATCCCTGACATCCTCTAGCTTCCTTCTGTTAAACCAGAGGAAAGAATATACTTGGGGGCTGTGGTGGTGCAACGGGTTAAACCACTGAGCTGCTGAACTTGCTGACCAGAAGATTAGTGGTTTGCATCCATGGGATAGGGTGAACTCCTGCTGTTGGCCCCAGCTTCTGGCAACCTAGCAGTTTGAAAACATGCAAATGTGAGTAGATCAATAAGTACCACCTCAGTTGGAAGGTAAAGGAGCGCTCCATGCACTCATGCCAGCCTCGTGACCTAGGAGGTGTCTATGGACAATGCAGGCTCTTCAACTTAGAAATGGAGATGAGCACCACTCCCCAGAGTCAGAGATGAGCACCACCCCTCAGATCCGGAAGGAGAAGTCTTTACCTTTATCTGTGTTTTATTGTTTCTAGGTATTGAATGTTTGCCTTTGTGCTTGTGTTGCCTCAGGGACATAGGGAGGAATGCAAATAAAGTATTATTATTATTATTCTCTTCTTTAAAACATGATCTACCCAATGAGGCCATTTGGCTGTCTAACTAGTCAAGAGTGATGAGTCGGGTACTTGAGACCCCTTAACTAAAGATGGCAGAGACTGAACTTGTGATGTAATATAGGTAAAGCTTCAGGACTTCTACTTATAAGGAGAATATTTCCTCTGTAGTCCCTCTACACCCTAATACCATTATACAACCATCCCAACAGTCCTATCTAATCCCCTGTCACCCCACATTTTCAGCTGCTTTTAAAATGTTGTGGTCCTCTTCCACTTTACCCCTTCATTGTTGTTGTTTATAGGTTCAGTTGCTTCCGACTCTTTCTGACCTCATGGATCAGCCCATGCTAGAGCTCCCTGTCAGCCGTCACCACCCCTTCAAGGACTGGCTTGACTCTGAGGGAGCCCCCCTTCATCTGTAGGTTATTTCAGTAACTGCAAACTAAGTTCAAAAGAGAGGAGGGGAAAACATCCTGCCTTTCCTAGTAGGCTCAGACAAAAGCAAACTGCAGCAGCCTCTCCTAGCTTGTCTGTTCTTTCTCATTAATAATCTTGGCTATCTGGACCAAACTCTGATGTTGCTTGACCACGTGTATACATGTTTTCATATGTGAAATGCAAGAGGGTGCCACAATAGTGCCAGCTACTCTGTAGTTGCACCATTGTTACAGATTCAATACTGAGTGCATAGCTTAACAAATTGCCTTCATTGCTAGCCCTTATTATTCTAACATTGGCTCAGAAACTTGTTAACATACAGATTTGTCTTCTTTCTGTCTTGGAAAGTAGCATCTATATGCAAAGCCTTGCTAATATGTGAACCTGTAAGGCCCCCTGCTGTTCCTGCCTGAGGTTGTCCATGGAGAAAAGTCTTACATGTTTGTTATATGGACTTATATTTATGTGGCTAATTATTAAAACTTCGTGCTTGAATCAGCACGCAGAGGAGCAAGCCAAACGGCCCGATCTATCAAGCTATTAGAGCCGACAAGTGGCGTGCGAGAAAGGGAGCATGGGATGAGTTATTAGTGCCCTGGAAATGGGGTGACAAGGCAGAGCTAATGGCTTTCCATTCAAATGATGCCTAAATCTTCAGGCCAAAAGCCAAGGGGAAAATGGAGGATAGGGAGAGATGGAGAGAGGCAGAGAGAAAGTGAGGGGGAAAAGATAGATAATTAGCTCAAAAATGCAGTGTGTGTCAGTCTGTATGTCTGTCTAGAATGACACTTTCAGTAGGAAAACAATTCAGTTTCTGTCCTAATGTCTTCTATGAGCCTGTTTCAATACTGTTGTTTTTCTAACTCTGGCCCCTGCTTTTAGAGAATTGAAAGAAAATATAGTACTTACAGTTGATATTATTTGGCTGTAGATAATTTGGTGGTTTGATTATAGCTGTAGCTCCAGAAGCTTTTTACATGTAGCGCTAATTGTTTCCCATAGCATATTAGTCCCCATGACAGCCAATGTATGCTTCTTTTTCCTGTTGTTAGATTCTTGACATCTGGTGCATGCAGCATCCTAATAAAAGTCAGCAAAAGCGAACCAGTATGAGAATTAGTATAAATTGAGGTAATCTTCTGTCCTGGGAAGAGGGAAAGCAGAGCACTTCCTCCCTAACCTGTCCTATTATAAGATGACAGTGTGATGATGGGTGAAGCATGGCAACGTCACTCAGGGCAAGATTGCTGCTTGCAAGCACCAAGCTAATCTTGTATTTACACAGGACATATAAAATGTTCTCACCTTGAACTCACTGTGAACAGTCCAGATGACATACAGCCAGTTCCACAATGAAAGCGCTTCCTCCAGCCTTTTATCCATTACAAGAAGAACCACAGGTTACTCTGGAGCTTCCAGGAAATTCTGGAATGACCCCAGTGTTTTGACAATTAGACAACTGGATTGGACCGGATCCAAGGCAATCCAGTGTCCACATGTTAAAAGACATGCCACTATTTTGCTGGCCAGAAGCAACTCCCTGGCAGAAGCTTCCTGGCAACGTCGCTTCTGGTGATCAAATTGTTGGGCGCCATGTTGTGACCTGACCAGAAGCAACGTCACCAGAAAGGCATGTCAGGAAGCTGGGAAAACAGGGCATCAGTGCCAATGCACTGTCAACCTGGCCAACCATTTGAAGTGATATCGCCAGCAAGGCCCTGGACTGCAAGATAGCTTCAGGGCACTTCCTTGCTGATGTGTGTGGACCCCCCCCCCCCTGGTGTATCAGGGGCAGTTTCAGAGCAGATTACTCAGAATCATTTCACCTGATATAGATGCAGCCTAAAATAAGCTCATGGTGCTGTCTCTCTTCTTCTTTTTATATTAACCCTAAGCTGGTGATATTATTCATTCATTCATTCATTCATTCATTCATTCATTCATTCATTCATTTATATCTTTGGTGTCATCCTTTCTCCAATGCCATATAAGACAACCATATAATAAAATAGACATATACATTACAACGTAGAATTAAAAACATAAAAACAGTAAAACCAATTATTAAATCCACATAATCCAAAATTATATTCCAAGAGCCATTCCAGTCATTATTGCACATATTCCAACTTGACTTCACTAAGCTATCCAGTTTTTCAAAGATGAGTGGGGTACAATTATCTCATATGTTAATAGCAAACCCATTCTCTTGAGTTGTGTGAGTTGCAGTAGTTTATTAATGGTTAGAGCACAAACCTTTTGCATGCAAAAGAAATAAATGCAATATAAAAGTGCAACCATATAAAAAAGCTACATGAAATAAATAGTAGTGCACGTAAAAATTCAATGCAATTAAAATACGTTGAATATAAACAACACTACTATAGTTAGTTAAAATAAGATTAGATAAGACTATTCCCAAAGCAATCAACTGCAATATCATAGATAACAATTGTCCAAGTTTGCATTACTGCTAGGGTAAAAAAAAAAAACCTTGAAAG